TAAAAGATTATCTAGGCTAGTGTAATGTACGCCTGTGAGATGTATCAGCATCCACCATCAACCCTCTCCCCCGTCCCCCTCCCAAAAAAATTCACCTGTGCGATTACGCTGGCCGGGTTTCAAATGCGTGGTGCAAAGGACATAACGAAGAAAGGAAGCTCACTATCGTACATGTATTCACCGTAATCAACCTGACAAATTCTTAAACTCTTTGAGCTGAGGGAAATGGTGCCCGATGAAACTTTATACCTCCAGACGTCAAAGATATGCTATGCATTCGCCTCCCACGTGACGAAACAGACAACTTCGGTTTCACTTGAGTTTCAGCTTTCACATATCGCGTCCTTGAAACAGTTTGACCTGATCTGTTTGAGCTTATATTTGAGCCTTGAAGCGGCCTTATAACACAACACAAAATGGGAATAAACTGTCAAAAAGCCGGGAAGATGTAGTGTAGTCATTTAAAAAGGTAAGCTCAAAGTTTTCAATTTGTCTTTTGAAAGATGTCCACTGTCGCTTCAGTCTTGCGAGTCGCCGCTGCTGATTTTCATTGTCGTCTTTAGCCGTTTAGTTTAGTTAACCTTGAGTTTGATTTCCAGACCACTTCGTTCGTGTGTTTAAAAGATCATACTTCTAAACAGCTTACTATACATGACATATGCTTTTATCATCGATAAAAATTGTGATCATCATCATATTTGATCATGATGATGTAAAAGAATGGTGGATTATCTCTGTTTGCCCATAAATAAACCGAAACTTCCGCTCTAGACATTGCAAAGACTGTAAGTATTGGCTATTAGTATGTGAATGTTTTCTCCTTTAATGAATGTAAAGTTTGGCCGTGATTTCTTATTTTGTCCGGGTTTCAAAACTCTCAGCGAGGGCTCCTAAATATTAAACCGTGTGATGTGTGCTTGTTGTCACGCGGCCATTCACCCAGATATGATCATAATTTTTTCTCACACCGAGAAAAATTCATTGAATTAACAGTGGGTAAGGAATTCCACTTGAAAGGATCAGGAATGCTCATAAAAAAGTTTGAGTTGAAATCCTAAGGGGACCATTCTGGACGTGGGTAACACTTTATTTGACCCTAAAGGAGAGGATAGTCAGTAGTTATACCCAGTATAAGGGCTTTGGTTTTATTATATTATTTTACATTTCTTTGCACATGAGCCTGAAAAGTACCTGTATGGGTAAAAATATTGACTTTCTATCCTGAAAACCCCAAGGAAGATTGAAATCCCAAATTTTCACCCCTAAGTGAGATGAGGGCTTCTCTGTTCTTTTCATATGGGGTACTACTAAAGTTTGAGTTGAAATCCTAAGGGGACCATTCTGGACGTGGGTAACACTTTATTTGACCCTAAAGGAGAGGATAGTCAGTAGTTATACCCAGTATAAGGGCTTTGGTTTTATTATATTATTTTACATTTCTTTGCACATGAGCCTGAAAAGTACCTGTATGGGTAAAAATATTGACTTTCTATCCTGAAAACCCCAAGGAAGATTGAAATCCCAAATTTTTACCCCTAAGTGAGATGAAGGCTTCTCTGTTCTTTTCATATGGGGTACTAACCCCTCCTCCTTCCCTCTTGGATTCAAATGTAAAGAGTTGGTGGGCATTGATTTGAAACCAAGAAGGCTTCCATTACAGTAACTCCTCAATCTCAGTGATCTAAACAGAAAAAAATGGGGGATTGTTAACAGTCAAGCTTATTTGCATTTTCTTTTAAAATATGTCACCTTCTAAACTTTTTTCAATATATTCACTCTCACACTGTTGTTTATATTTCAGCATGTGTCCATGGATTCACTCTTAAATTCAGATACTGAAGAGAACTTACAGTTGAATGTGCCTTATGATGAAACTTTTAACAGTTTGGTCAACTACAATTCAGAACTCATCTATGGTCCTACTTCTTCACATACACACCCAAGTCAAAGAACTGCTCCATTGGACATCAGGCACAAGCTCCCAACTAAACTGTCTAAAAACCCAAGTACTTATGAAAAAGAGATTCGTCAATTGGTGATTGACTTATACTCAGACAAGAAAGTGTCCAATCAGGATCTAGACCAATCAACAAACATGACATCCTCAGCTAGTTATTATAAGGTACAAGAAAAAGGACATTCTGTGGCACAAGAGTCTGGGGATCCTGTGCTGCAAGAGCAAGAGGCTAGAGTTCATTTGTTGGAAACAACTGCCCATCCTGTGGTGCAATTGCCTGAAACTCCTATATCACAAAGGCCACCATCTGAAGGTGCATCATTCTGGGGTACTCAGAGAGTGAGTGCCCCTCAGCCCCTTGATATCAGACGTGTGACAGAGCCCTCTCAGAACCTCTCAGAATCTGGCTCAGAAGGGTATTTTTCCCAAGAAAATAGTATTGCATCAGCTGAAGAGGGTACAATACAGAGTTTACAGGAGCTACAAAGTTATTTGGCAAAATATCAGACCAGCAAGCAAGGTACATCCTACAATGCTATTTTCTCCTTACTTGCCCCTTCCTCTCCCCACCCCATCTTTTTATTTGGAGCTGACCTTCCTTTCTAGCTGCCCCCTCCCCCCCCCTTTCCTGTCACATCCATCCTGTCTTGTAAAATTCTCATTGATATCTCCATATTTCGTAATCTCTAGGTTTATTACCTGATTAATTTCCCCTGATAAATGTTACAAGGTATTTGTTAATAGGACAACATTATTTGATTCTTCAACTTTCTAAGTGATGTACTGTAGTATGGAAATTTCTTTGTTCCGGAACAACTTCTTTTGTCAAGTTTTTGCCAGACTGAAGATTTACAGTCTCTGTTTATATATTTAGTAAAAGATCGGCTCTATTTACTCCTGTTAAATATTGCAAAATCTTTTCCTCACATCGTAGAATTGTCCTCCAGAAATGTCAGCTTCTCCTCAGACATGACAACTCCATTATTTGATGACTCTGGGATACATCTTGAGTTTACTCTGCCTTTTGACACAGACATACCTGAGGAAGGGGCTTTGCATAACAATAGTGATGGACAGAGACAGACAGAGGCCTGCCCACGACCTTCTTTCTTTTTCACAAAAGATGAAGAAAGTGAACCAGACGTTTCACTGCTGGAAATGCTTCAAGGCTCTCAGAGACAAGGAGACGGAGAAAATGGTGGCAACAAAAATCTGGCGGCAAGGGACGGTCAAGCAAACGATCTTGTTCCTTCCAAGGAGGACATCCCAAGAAAGCAGATGTCTGGTTCCAGTCATGTTCAGAATTTCCCTGCTTTACGAAGCCCTGAAAATGAATCCGAAAATAAGCCCCCCTGGTATGGTCATGAAAAGAAGGCGGAACTTGCAGTCACAGAGATGGGAAGTTTGGGAACAAGGGTGCAGATTCCAGACACGGCTCAATTTGTTGTTCCAAGTTCTGGAGATAATAAATGTGTCTTTTCGTTGGAAAACGTGCAACTTCCAAAGTCTCCAAATGATCGTGAAAGCAGTGCGGATCTTGAAGCCACAGACGGTATGTTAGCAATGCAGAAACCATTTGTGAGGGAAAGCTGTCATGAGTTTGAACTTCAGCGCGCGGGTTTGGAAGGAAAATTGGAATCTCTACAAGAGGAATTTGCCAATGTTTTAGAAGAGAGGAAGAGGCTTCAGTTAAGACTCCAGGCACTGGAGGCACGACTTAAAGAGGAGATGCAGAAAGCGCGAGAAACCAAACCAACGGCAGTAACGCTAGTTGTCGAACTGCAAAAAAATAAGGCTGAGCTGGAAAACCAGCTGATGAAATTACAGAGTGCTTACGAAGAAAAAAACGATGGGCTTACCGTGGCACTTGAGCGCTTGAAGACAGCTGGTGGAACTATTCAGAATCTGAAACAAAAGTTGTCGGTATTAGAGGAAGAAATATGTCAAAGAGAAAAAACGGTAACTGCGCTTCAAGCTGAGATGGATAGTCTTAGAAAATTGCTTGAGCAAGCTAAAGACCAGAACGAACAATTCAACAATGAGAATAAAGCTCTGAATGCAGAAATAGCGAGTCTGGTAGAGGGTAAAGAGTGGCTACAGAAGCAGCTTTCTGTAGCTGGAGAAGCGAGGACAAAGATGCAGCTTGAAGCTAGCGAACTTGAGTCCACGTTGGCAGCGAAAAATCAGCTGATTGAGCAGCTGAGATGTGACAGTGCACGTTCGGCTCAGCAACTTTCAGAACTGCAACAAAGCTCTCTCGCGGAAAAGGCGAATATTTTAAAGCACATGGAGCAGGTTGAAGATAGTGTCAACCAGCAAAATCTGACTTTTAAAGAGAAGGAAATTGATAAGCAAAGGGTGGAAAGAACTTTAAGAGAGAGAGTCGAGTCACTGATAACTGAAAACAAGAGGCTTCTTAAGCTTATTAGTTCAGCTGGGGAAATTGAGGAAGAACTTGATGCGGCCAAAAAAGATGTGGTTTTGAAAGAGGCTTTGCTCGACGCTATTACGAAAGAAAAAGACGAAATCAGAGAGCAACTGAAGCTAGCACGTGATTCCACAGAGGAGTTTAAGAGAAATATTAACGAGTTGGAGTCAAAGTTCAACGAAATTAAACAAGAGCTCAAGACAGCGCAAAAAGACATAAGCGAAAAGGAGAATTATATCGAGAAACTGAACGAAGAAAAGCGAATTTTGAAAGAGAATCTAGAAGTTGCACACCAGGAACGTGCAGCGTGTGATAATGCCATTCAAACACTGAGGCTGGATCTTGAGAAAGTTGATCGTCGATTTAAGCTTATGAAGAGGGAACTGACCGCAAAGAAATGCCAGCTTGAAGAGACAACTCGACAGAAGGATAGTTTTATGGGCGAACTGCGCGCTTTAAGAGAGGGTTTGGAGAATCAAGTGAGCTTAAACGGTGCCATAAAAGAACAGTTAGCACAGAAGGAGAAACTCACTGAAGAATTCCAAGAAATGAAAGTCGCTCTGGAAAAGGAGATTGGTAGTTTGAATCGGCAGATAGAGTCTGCACAAGACGAGCTCACTAGAATGGACCACGAGAGAAATGAGATCCAGGAAAAACTTCAGTCTGCAGTGAGGTAACCAAGTTATAAATAATGGTTTGCTTAAAAAAAACATGAAAACTATGAAAAACATCCTTCAAGGTGGCTCGATGGGGTTTTTCAGGGTCATTACTTACCTCATTTATCTCGTTTTCGCCCGTCCATACGAAAATGCTAAAACGACGGAAACAAGGAAACACGTCCACTGGCGAAAAATGTACTGAAAGCCCATACGTCTTATGAAATTTCACGTGATCGGTAATGAAACACACTAGCATTCCTTACAGAGAATGCGTAATGCTAGAAGCACATGATGTATTTTACTCGATAACCTCCATTTTCGTCCTTCCCCTTGTAAGCAATTAGCCGGCGTTTTCAAAACTCACACTCTGAAAACCATCAGGTTCGAAAAACTACATTTTTTTTGGTGCCCCAAAACGTCGTTTACAAGAGGACAGAAGGTTAAAACGGAGAAAAAAATGCCCGTTTTCAAAAATATCCAGATACTTGTAAACTGGGCCTTTTTAAAAAATGTCTGCGCGTAAGCTCTTCGAGAGGCGAGGGTTCACGCGCAATCGCGAGAGACTGATTTGGGCGGGATTCTTTGCCTCTCGCTATTCTCAGGTAGGGATTTTCAGTGCTGGCAGGCTATTTACACTGCGAACGTGATATAACTGGACTAGATGTTCATTTGAGCGATATTGAAAGGAAGAATATTTTGTTCTGTTTGTAGGGAAATTGTCACGAAAGAGGAGAAGTTTCAAAAGTCCCTAATGGAACGAGCAAGGTTGGAAGGCGAACTCGAGACAACAAAAAATTCAAACAAGGAAGAAAATGAAGTGTTGAAAAGTCAAAACGCAACGATTAGAGAAGAAAGTAAGAAGGAAAAGATGCTGCTACAGGCAGAAGTTACGAAGGAGCGGGATAAAGTCATTAACATGGAACAAGAACTTAAATTTTTAACCGATGAAATAAAGAGAAAGGAAACGCTTTATAATCAGGAACTACAGACTACGGAGGCGAGTTTGGAGGAAATGAAAAGTAGAAAGGAGATCGCAGAACAGGAATTGAAGAAACTTCATGAATTGACCGAGGAAAGAGTAGAGGAATTGAAGAAAAGCTACAAAAGCAAACTTGAAGGACTCAAACACGAACTTGATTCTGTGCACCATGCAAAGGTAAGGAAAAGCTTGCGATATCATTACATACCTATACTGTACCTCAGTCTCCATTATGTTGAAGTTGAGCCTTCTTATTTTGACGCTGGCGAAAAGGTTACTGAGTGCCAGCTTGACTGGCCACTTTTGACAAGTGCGTATCTTTTTCTTTGCTGTACTTTGATTGGATAATAATTCTCACGCCATTTTTTTCCACCAATCAGAAGTATAAGCAAAACCAATCACTTACTGTTCGCACCCGTTTTCCCGCGCTTTGCGTCTTCTAATTTTGATTGGTTCTTAATCCTGGTTTCCATATCATCGCCCGGCTTAGACGGGCTAAATGATTATCCGGGAACTTACCTAAAGACCTGCCTCGTCTCTAGTTGCTCGCGATCGCTTATTTTGGGGATAGGATAGGAAAGGAAAGCGGGTCGAAGGGGTTGATGGGTAAGGAAGAAGAGGCAAAACTTTCCCTTTTGTCCATTTGTTCCTTTTAATCACCCCCCGTTTGCTCTGTAATCGCTCCCATTATCCCCTCGCTCCGCGCTGGTCTGGCTTCCTGCTCAACGTTGGAAAAGCAGTTGGAGGAAGCAGCCTAAATAGAGGCTTAAGTTTTATCCGATCTGTAATCGTCTGGGTCATACAGCATCGTATCAGAATGACCTTCTTGAACGCTGGAAAACATTTTGAGACGATTCGGGCAACTTGTGCATGGTCATTAAATTGAAAAAGTATATCTAATATCGCTACTCTACGTAAGAAAATGTTACTCCATTTTCATTTTTACTCTCATTCTTTCTCGAAGGTTGAATTAGAGGAAGTTTATACTGCGTTGTGTACAAAGTCCTCTCACGAACTTGCGATGAAAGACCGAGAAATTAACCAAATGGAAAAAGAACTCTCACTATCGAAGGAAATGCTGAAACAAAGGAAAGCGGAGGTCGAGAAGATGCAGCTTTGCGCAATCGAACTCGAGCGAGAAAAAGGTCGCTTGGCTGGAGTGTTAGCAAGTCAGAAAACCTTGCGAGAACATGTAGTAAAGATGGAAAGTGAGATGGCAACAAAGGAATCAGCTCGCCTTGAGATGGCGAGTGAAGTGGAAAGACTGAACAAAGAAGATGAAATTCAGAAAAAGACGGCAAGTGAACGAATTGGAATGCTGGAAACAACGTTGAGTAATCTAAGGGAAGAAGGCAAAAATGTACGGGATGAACTTAGAAGAGAAAGGAGGGAAAATGCTACATTAAGAGGTGAATTGGAAGAGAAAGTTAATGAACGACTGGAGTTAATCAAAAAGTTAGGTAGCGCTGAAAAACAAGTAAAGCATTTCCAAGAAAAGATGGAAAGGCAAATTGATGAAGTGAAAAGGTATCGTACGCAGCTAGAAGTCATAAAAAGTGGCCTCACAGAACAACAGACTGAACGAGAGAATTTGCAAAGAAAATTGGAGGCGGTATTAGAACAAGAAATGGTGAAGGACAGTCAAATTCAAAGCTTGGAGTGGGAGGTTAGTCGACGAACAAAAGAGGTGGAATACCTAAAGGAACAGTTTCGAGTGACGGAAGAACGACAGCAGTTAGAATTGGAAAACTTGAAAACTGCTCTTCAGGTTTCCAGAAGTGAAACAACGTCCTTGCGTTCCGACTTGTCAGAAGCAAGAAAAACCAAATGTGCTTACCAAACAAAAACGTTTGAATTGAAGGATTTACTTCTCACCTCCAGGCAAGTTACGGAGTCGTTAAAACAAGAGTTATTTGTGAAGCGGCAGGAGTTGAATTCCTTGCTGGATGACGTCCTTGCTGCCGGGAATCTTCAGCAACTTCAGGAGGAAGTTACTAACAGAAGAGAAGCAATATCCGACGAGTATAAAGAAACAACGGACGATACAGATGCTGCTGGAATAGACGATGCAAGTTGCTTAAGGTATGGGAAATAGATGCTTTGAGAATTGGGTGATAGGGCAAGGAAGATAGCCTGCAAAGCAGGCGTATTTTGCTGTGCGATCAATTCGACTGACCGAGAGTTGGGGCGAGTCAAAAAATAATTCCAAGGGAGAGGCTGACGCGTCAAAATAGGGGAGAGGGAGAGGGCAGGGAGAAAAAGGTTTTTTCCTTTTCCTCCCCGCCCCTCCCCCTGGCCTTCCCCTCCTTCATGTACCTTTTGCTCGCGCTTCTCAAACAAAAACAAAAACCAAAAAAGAAAAGCCTGCAGAGGGCGCATTTCATTGACGACTTACGGACTGGGTGGCTCACTAACCGGCCGAGTTAACTAACTGAATGTGTGTGGGTTTGTAGTATTCTTATGTCTCGGGAAACCACTGCTGAAGTACCGTTTTGATGTCTGTTTGTTACACAGTGAAATGCAGCTTTTGATAAGCTCTTGTTTGTGCTGGCAGAATTATCAGTGGATTCTGGCTTTATTGCAATTTTCTCGTCCCCAGGGCCCTTCCTTTCGTGCGGTCACTTGGTTAGCGAAACGTGCTTGTGGCGCATACGCGGCAGTTTTAAATATCACTACCATTGTTCAAAGCGGATTTGAATCAATCGCATTGTCTCTTTGGGGAGAAAAGGGACGAGAGGTGCAGGGGACGAGAGTGTAATGACAAGAGTGACAGGTTTAGTCAAGAGAAAGCGAGGAAATGACCCTCATTTCTTCTTGCTTTAGAACAGGTGTTACGCCCAACCGTTCATTTAAACTGCTCACTGCACTGATTGATTCTTTTTTACGTACCGGACGTTAGGAGAAAACTATCGAGTTCAATTTACACCCTCGATTACGCGGGGGGCGGAGAGGGGGGGGGGGTAACTTTGGATAGTGGGTGGGGACACAGTCGATTGTGCTCACAAATCTTGTCTTTTTCCAGGCCTGTAGCCGGTCTTCAAGAGTGCATGTCTTCACTCAGGTGAGATAACGGGATTTCATTACTAACGATTATTTTTCTTCTGAATTGAACAAATACAGTCAAACCCGTTAATACTGTCACTGAAGGGGTCACAGAAAGTGCCCGTATTATAATAAGCGGGTGAAATTTAGGAAAAATGTAAGGGCTTTCCTTCCTCAAGGACAAAGCAAACTGTCAGTAATAATTAAGTGTCCATGTTAGGCGGGTGTCCGTAAAGCGGGGGTTGACTGTAATAGACAATATGTATGACCTACTTGAGTTGCCACGTTTAAATCTTCTTTTCTTTTGAATGCCATTGTTATTTTCATAATTTTGTGTTCGACAAGCAAATCGTTTACTGCTCTGACCTTACCTTTAAATTGGTTGGATTTTCCAGGTCGCAAATCAGTAATCTACAGAAGCAAATGAATGATCACACAGACTCCGTGTTAACTGCTACAACATCCTGGAGGTAAAACAGCCTGGGTATTTTTAACATTGGGATAGCCTGGGTAACAGGCGTCGAATAGGCTGGGGTAGGGGATTGAGAACAAGGGAAAAAGGGAGGGGGGTTGTGGAGAGAGGGTACCCAGGTCTCGTACCGAGACGTTTTGATCGCTCACGTTTGGTTGTTTCGTCCACGGGATAAAACTTCGCATGACATATCCTGATGCCAAAGATATATTCTGGCTGGGACTGGGGTCAAGGCTGGAACAAATCACGTGCTTCCTTTCAGCTCCCTTTTTCTAATCTTTCGTTGCTGCTCTTTTTACTGAAAACCTTTTTTTATATTTTAGATCTTTTAAAGAAAATTTTCACCAACTGCAAGCAAGTTGTAGTTCACAAAGCATTCAGCTGTTAACAGCCGAGAAAGATGACTAAATTATCACCAGAATGTTGGGTTTCCTTGCGCCTGTGTCGTCCGACAGCCGTGACTGGTCGTTATGTCAGATTCTTAAGACACATACGCCGCTAAACGCAACTTGCCAAGGAACATTTAGAAAATTCTTGTAATAACTGTATTCGCCACGAACACATCTCAAAAGTGTTTTTGCGATAGGTGTTCAAGCTGCTGTTGTGAAGTGCTTCACGCTGTAAACCTTGTTCGAACAGCACAGTTACTAGCGTTCAGCTCTCTATACACTCAAATTATAGTTTTTAATAGCCTTCTAACAGGCTAACTTGTGCGAGTTCCTCGTTGGATGGCGGTTCCACCGCCAAAATAATTTTCTCCGAATTGGCACAAGTGAGCCTGCGCAGGTTACGTTTATAACAAATTTGGATTGTTTAATTTCTTGATTTGTGGCTAAAACTCTTAAGCCCGCTAAAAAATCCAGCGAAGACGTTTTGCCGCGTACTATGTTTTGTGGAGTTAAAAAAATTCAAAATCGAAAATAATCGTGATGTTTTCTGTTGGTTTTCACTGCCCTATCTTCCCCCAATCAATGTGTCTGTTATTTAGAAAATAGCTGATACAATTCAGCCGAAACGTCTTAAACTCTGGAAGGTGTCTTCTGACTTGTATAGTTTTGGGTTTTCTTTTAAAGTTTTAGCGCCCACGGTTTATCTAGCATGACGTAGAGTAGCTACGGTGCACTTGTAAATAACACTTGGAAAAGATTTACTGAATTGAGCAACCTCAATGGTTATAAAAATACTTATTATAAAAACTATTTTTGTCGTTGTATTAACAGCGTTACAGTAATACAATAAATAAGATAAATAGTTAAGATTTTGGAGTTGTGATATCAATTGTAATATTTATTTAGTTACTTTAATCTTTTCTTGCTAGCAAAGCGCTCTTTTCCCAGGGAAAAGGAGGCCTCCACTTAGCAAGGACTCGAATTTTTAGTCTATTACTCTAATTTGGATTTTCATTTTTCATTGTTACTTAGCGCGAGCAAAGTTTTGGCAGAGAAACTGCGAAGCCGTGCAGAGAATGGCGCTCGCTACTCGCGGCAAATTAGCCGATCCAGCGACCAGCTCTAGTTACGACCACTTTTTCGAATTTCCGAGGTGGTCGCTTACGAGAGCTTCGACTGTATTTGGTTTGCTTTGCAAACTAAGGAAATAGGAGAAGTAAGTTATACAAAGCTCTATAAACTTTTTAAGATGACGATCAGTGTGTTCTCTATGAATCAAGTACAAAATTTGCCTTCTGAGGCTACAATCTTAAACACAACAAAAGGGAAAAAACCCTTCCCCTCTCTGATATCAACGATGAAGCGGCGCGAAGACCAAAACGCGCTACCTTCCCCTTATCCTTGATTTGGGGGCCGGCACAAAATCAGCCAAAATCGCTTTGCCCCCAGCGAGTTGCAGCTTTCCTACCATCCCCATCTTTCATAGTCTCTCTCGCAGCTGTTTTTTGGATGTCACGTTGGGGAGAGCATGGCGTGACATCCAAAAAACAGCTGCGAGGGAGACTGCATCTTTCAGTGCTATCTTCCAGCTTTGCTCCACGTAAGTCCCATTTTTTTGCAGCTGTTACCCCACAGTTTTTTGCCACTTTCGCTTTCCTTTTTTATAGTTATGTTCATTTATGCGCTTTTCTGGAATTCGTTCATGGTGCATCCTTACTGCATGCCCGTCCACGTGAACTTGCGTTTCTCTACTGTAACATTACCATGACAGCCGGCCTGTTTTCTTATAGAGTTCTCTTATCTGATCTGGGCAAAAAATGGTGCAGAACTTCCGCAGGCAGCCATTTTGGAAGGTTTTAACTTCGCTTATACCTTTCTTCATCGCTTTCCAATTCCCAGAGTCGTATAGCAACACCGATTCCACGTTGTGAGGAGGGGTGATCTTAGTTTTCCATTTATTTTGTCCAAGATTGTACCTTTAATTGGAGAAAGGTGTCGCTTTGTTGGTTCACAGAGTTCATATCATTTGTCTGAGCAAATAGTTCCTTCACACCAGTGGCTGCGCAAGATAATCTTGTTGCGTGGGCGTTTGAGCAACATTTTGCGGATTGCGACTTTCAAACCGAAGGAGTGTGTCCAACAACTCGTCTCCAGTCTTCGAGCCACCCCTCTCTAAAGTAATGTTAAGGTATCGCTGGCGCAGCAAGTGAGCAGCGGCCTTTGGTTGTCTCTGACGTGTTAGGATTCCTTTTTTGTTGCCAACCACCCTTGTGGTACCTTTAAGAAACAAATTATGTAGATTCAGCAAGAGGGCGGTTTAAAACCATATGCTGGTTAGATATTTTCAAGCTTTTATTTTTGGAGAATTTTAAAGCACAGTAGACAATTCCAACCATAGGCTACTTCAGTGCATGGGTACCAGTCCAGTTTTTATTAGAATCAAAGGGGGAAGTATGACGATAATGGAAAGTGGGTTAGGACTTAGGGGGAATCAGCGGAAAACCACAAGCTTGAAGGACTCGTATGTTGACCTATTAAAGGATCAATTACTGAAACACAAAGACATTGCTACCAAGATCCCGAGGATAAGATTGGTCATTGTTCACTCACCTTGCTGCGTCATAAAGTCAGCAAAGTTCCAGATCATCTCTCCAATAAAAAACTCTTTCTTTAGTTTATCAAACACTGGGAAATACTGCAAAAGTGACTCCACCTATTGGAAATAACAGTATTAAAGGTTGAATATTTATATTAGAAATATCTGGCAAAGGTCAGAACTCCATTTTTTTCAGTCCTAAAAGCTTGAGTGAGAAAGAAAAGGATAAAGATTATGCGAGAAAGAAAAGTTGAAGGAACAAAAGCAATGGTTGCCTACTTAACTTGTATAATGATTACTTCAAAAAAATGATGAGCTGGAAGTAACATTTTCAAAAATACAGCTAGATTTAGATGCAGAGAGAAGACTTGGAGAGAGAAGTGTAAAAAAATCTAAACAACTTACCTGATATTCCTCTGAAAACATAACCGCAGGTTCCTGCAAGCGAGAACAACATTTAAAGCCGACGTCAATAAGATATTTAACACTTTCAATCAAGAAAATTTGGAAATTTGAAAAGCATTCTTTTGTTGGAGATTTCGTTTGTTTTGTTTTGTTTCTTTTGTTGGAAATTTCGTTCGACTCATAAATAGAACGCTTCGTTCCTGGTGGAAATGTTTCGATTTCACATCGTCCTTTTTTCCGCTTGCAAACACCGAAGCACCAACAGCTAGGAGTCCTCCCCATGTCGCGCGTGTCTGGCGCTCCTAGCTCCCCTGAACATGAAGCGAGAAAAAAACGCCTGTTATGCAGGCTAGTAGTTTAACAAGTTCTATTTCATGATTTTAGCGATGACGGAGCTTTTATTCTAATATTTATCATGTAGCACGTACCACGTGCATACCAGCTACTGTATCGGCTCCATATTCAGCTTGAATAACTGGTTTGCCGTACGCGTCAAACCAGCCTCGAAGTTCCCGCTCCAGTTGTTTGGAGATAAGCTGCGTTTGTCCATAGTCATGGTACCACGCGTAGTAGCGGTTACAAAGAATCACATCACAAAATTTGACCTGGAAAAGGAAGAGAGAATTAGAGACAAAACAAATGCAAAGGGGAGGATTGACAAATTATGCCCTCTCTTCTTACCCCTCATAATATTACACAAAAGTGTTCACTTGCATCAGCTCGAATAAAAATGTACGATCATGGAGTTTTAATGTGTTCTAACTATCACCGTCCAGTTCTCGTTTGAAACTGTGTTCATGCCATGGGGAGAAAAATACTGTTATCACATCGAAGCTTCATCACAGTCGAAGTGATAAAAAGCCTAACGCTTAAAACATCGGTTCCTTACAACTTTATCACTCCAGGCTTTAAACATGGTAACGAATGTCACAGGTCGAGTGAGATCCAAATTGCGCGTCTCTTGAAACAGCTTTCTGTCAAACAGAGACAACAAAGGACAAAAGTAAGCGGATGGATAGTCTACGTGGCAGGCCGAAAAAAAATGGAAAATGGGGCGGAGGAGAGAGCGTCATCCCTTGTCATCTCCCCCAATCCCCAGCTCCTCTCCCTTTTCCCCTTTCTGCCCCACCCTACACCTTTTGAGGCCTGTCATGCAGGCAGGCTAGCGGACGATGGAATTAATAATAATATGCCACACCTAATTTCATAGTCTTGGTGAAACGAATATACGTTTTTTCGGCTTGAGTAGTATGAAAATAGGAAAACGCACTATATGTCTGGAAGAGGCGGCTTTCATTAAAACTATAGCAGGAAAAATACTCTGGAAAGTGTTCTCACTCGAAGTAAGGTACCGAGGATGGTTTGTCGGTGCATGGTTCATTGGCTACCGACCACATAACAACCGCTGGTCTGTTCTTATCGCGACGGATTAGTTCAGCCATCACTTCAACGTGGTGGTCCAAACTTTCTTTTCCTAAATTATTTCTGGAAGAAAAAACAGGAAGCATCAAAACAAAATACCTAGCTGAAGAACAAAAAGAGGATACACGATTCAAAGTAAGCGAGAAGAGTTTGTCAGAAAATCTGAATGATGAAAGAGAGCTACTCGTTCAAGGCCAATTTAAAATGCCGTTGGTGCTTAAGGTAAGGAAAAGGGCGGTAGCTGCAATGAAATCACGTGCTATTGTTTTTCCCGCCCCTTGAGTCGCTCGTGCTCTACGCCCTGCACGTGGTAGAGTAGCGGCTGCGTTTGGCTCAGAGTTTGAGCCTGTATGTTTATAAAGGAAGAAGGATAGGTCGCTAGGTTAGGTTGTGGGTGGATACTATCGAATTGAACAAAACATTATCTCTTTTCTTAGACTACAAATTGGGTACTAGAAAAAAAAACGTTACGGCTTGATTCCAACTCCAGGACACTCGTCGATCACCACAATTCCTTCCTTGTCCGCCATGTCCATGATTTCATCAGCATATGGGTAGTGACTTGTTCTAAAGCTATTAGCACCAAGCCACTTTAGCAGACTGAAGTCCTTGGCTATTAATGCATAGTCTAGTCCTTTACCGCGAATCTGACAACAAAACGCAGAAGAGTTAAATGAAATTTAAGCTGTCAAGGGGTTGTATGTACCATTAAGCAGTGGCGGATCTAGACCTTCAGATAGTGGTGGGGGTGGGGCGGGGCAGTGCGGTTATCCAGACCCTGAGATAACGGGCGGGTCGTCTCAAAAAGATTTTTTTCGGACTTTCGGGCCTAAGTTTGGTCTAAAAATAAGGGGGGTGGGGAGCCCCCAGGCCCCTTCCCTGGATCCATCCCTGTTAAGTGATTCACTGGTTGTCCTCCTTTCTTTCAATTTTTATGTTACATGAATGAGTAACAGCTCAGTCTACAATTTGAGACATGCTTTCCAGTGATAACCAGATATGGAGGAATGGGAAAGGAAAGAAGTCGTTTTCCTATTTCTTTTTTAAAAAAGGAAAAATATATGGATAATCTACAACATTCATCTAAAATAGTTTTAATTACGAGTAACAGACGCTTCTCTTACATCAGCATCTTCATGTTTTCCAAACCCTTTAAAGTAAAATGGTTTGTTGTTTATGAGGAAGCTAGTTTCATCAACCTTCACAGTTCTTATTCCCACAGGGAGATAATACACATCTTCCAGCACAAACATGGCAGAGCGAGTTATTATCTGGGGAAAAAGTATACAAGCGTAAAGGTAAGTGAAAATGATATAACTAATTTAATGGCTCAAACGATTCTGAACCTTTTGTTTCCCCTACCCTTTACTTCCAATGAGTTAAATCCATAATCCTTGAAACTCTGCACCAAAATATAAAATATGGACCTAAAATTTTGTTAGTCCCTATTTCTGATCTTATTTATTTTCACTGTACTAAAATGTCACATAACAATGTAGGTAGCTTGTGCTATGGAATCCTCCATTCTGTAAACTGAGATCTGGCCTGGCTTTAGCAGCTCTTATAAATTCTCTTTTATGTGATCTCTGTTTGTTTCACCTTCCCTGCTGGGGTGTTTTCTACCAAGTGAAACAAAAATTGAGCCTGATCTGAGGTTACCATTTTGTTGTAGGCTGACCTTGCTTGAGAATCTTTTTCCTTCTAAATGTAATGAAAATATTATTTGGAATCTTAGTAAAAGATTAAAATAACCTTTAATGTGTAGAGGTAGGCAGGGTCATCACTCATTCCATAAGGCCACCAAAGTATGGGGTTCTTGATTGACAGTGTTCCCTCAAACATATCAGGGCCCCCTGCTGAAGCCACAACAAATCCTTGCTTGTCATGTAATAGATATTCCACAGTTATGTCTCCCTTTGGAAGCAGAGAAACTGAATTGATGGATGACACTGTAGCAACGAATTTGACCTCACCCGTGTTATCAGAGAAAGAGGTTGTTACAGTGATGTCTGAAAGGAAGATTACTGGCGTGGTGTAGAGTTTAACTGGACGATGAATGCCAGCATAATTGAAGAAGTCAAAATAGTACTTTTGGATGAAGAATCCTGGTGGATACCTAGAATAAATCATAATGAATGTTTATAAAACCTTGATGTACTTGTACATTAATTATTTTAACATATTTTAAATTTTATTGGGATATAAACATCTCACAAGACATAAGAATGTCAGCCGTGAGTAATCCTTGGAAAAGGTTGGGTTTTTTTGTTGTGAGAAAATTTTAGTGGTCAGTTCCCTGGTCCACCCTCCAAAAATAAAATCTAAATGCTATGTTTAACATCACTGACTATTGTCCCCACCTCATTCCCATAGAGACCTCTCTTCTTACCTGCTCTCTCTCTCTTTTGCCCTTGGGGATGGCCCCCATGGGATGGGATGAAGAAGAGACCCTGGAACAAGGCTCTAGTCTCCTCCCGTTCGTCTTACAAAACATAAATTTTCATTAGAGATACTCTAGATGCCCTATCTACCTCTTTGTTACCATAACTGTACCCAAGTTAGTATTGCTGCACAAAACCCCTAGCAGCTTATTTTTGCCTTTAGGACATGAAGAAACATTTGTTTTTGCTTACACCCCACTAGATTTCACAGTTTTAGAATTTTAGGGCTCTTCATTGTTTTTTCTTAAAGTATGACCTTGGTTACTCACCAGTCTCCCCCTGTAAGGTATTTTATTTCTCCTGGGGGTAGGGTGGTAGGTGTAAGTGTGTTGTTAATGGCAGCTGTGATTCTGTTGGGTTTATCATAGGTGAGAAGGGGTGTGACATCAACTTCAAATGGCAGATGACCCCCTGAGTGTGTCATGACCTCTTTGCTGTTGACCCACTGATATAACAAAAAATAAAAAACATAATATATTTTAATTTAAAAAAATAAAGACCAGCCCAGACAACTTTTAATCCTAAATCTGTGGCAATTTTTGATGTCTTACCACTATGGTGTGATAGTTTGTAGCCTCAAAGCGAAGGACTACCCTGGTGGTATTATTTTCCCATGACCTGGGCACATAAACTTCCTTCTCATACCACACCCAGCCAACAAAGTCTCTCAGGCTGCGGTCTTCAGTGATATCATTAAAGCTTGATGGAACAGGCATTGGAATTACTTCACCAGACTGAGAAATAAAATGAGACACCCAAAATGTCAATAGAATTAAAAGAAACTATCACATGATACTGAAATTAGTTGTACTGACCCAATATCTGGATGACATAAGAATTATTAATTGAGATTTCTGGAAATTCTTTTCTTGTTTTGTTCCAGACTCTCTATAGGTAAGCTGTAGATTGACCAGAGTAACAAGGGAGCCAGCATAAGGGATGAGGTAAATAGGATGAATAAGGCTCTATTGCTGGTTTTCATTGTCACGCCATTCAAAATAGATCAAAATAAAAATCAAAACCGTTCAATAGATAAAGTCCAGAAGCTGGGAAATGAAAAGAGGTACATTTACAAAGACCCTCGCCAAGATTCAGGTCAGAGGAATATTTCCTATACGAGATATCCGAAGAAACGTTTTACCCAAATTTATAGAGATTTGTATGGAGACGCCATGCTGGTGCTCACCTAGATGAGCTCCAACATGGCGGACGGAAACCAACGGAAACATCTGTTACCGAGTTTTACTACAAAAGCGTGAATTTATCCTTCGAGAAACTCATAAACATTAAAGTAACACTTTTTCTAATACATGAACTGTTTAGATAGCAAAATTTCCTGAAATAAGTCATTTTTTTAACCTACACGACAGCTCTCTTGGCCGTCATGTAAATCACGCGTCACGAAAAAGCTTAGAAATTCAAGCGTACTCTATCACAAAACCAAGAACCCTTTTGGAGCAAAAATTTGTATGAAATTTAGTTTTCAGCTGTTCTAATGCATCGTGAAAGTAAAATCTCGGTAGGATCGATAGCTTTTTAGTTTGAATTTTAGTGACGTCATGTGAAAACCAACAATTAGGGTAAAATTCTGAAGAGCAACATGGCCTTGAAACAGCTACATAAAACAGATGAAATGGTGATAAACAACATAAAAATGGGTTAAATACCGACAGGGACATGCCAACTCCTCGAAATGCAAAACAACTGTATTTGAAATTCAGACTAGGGAGATACCTACCCCCCCCAAGAGGGCCTCATACGCGAAGAATGAGTGAGCTGTGAGGAAAAGGGTGTGGGAATTATACAGTTCTATAGCCTGCATAGGAAGCGTTTCCGTGCGGTTTAGGAGCAAAGAACGAGGAACAAGAGTCAAAGACCGTGCGAAAAATGGCGTACTCGGTCTTTCTTTGCTTCGAAACCAAACGGATACACTTGCTACGCAGGCTAACAGTTCTACATTGCTATATAAAAATATTACAAGAGGGACAGTTCAGAAAAAGTAACTAATAAAGAAGAAAAACTGGGAACCAAAAGTAAATGCATTAAGGGACCGGTCATTATTTATGTGGGGGGGTGGGGCGGGGGGAAAATCGTGGGGTGGGCCTGGCCTATCTTTTTTAGAGACTGAGGGGTGGGCCAGAAGAGAATTTCACGATGATTGGGGGTGCTGGACATAAAATATAACACAACTGGATGTCACATGTATAAGCTATCCCACCTAAGTATGGAGAATCAAAGATGTGGGCACTAAATATCAATAAATAAACATAAGCCCTATAATTTGAGAAGGCTTGCATGCTTCCTTTTCTTAATATAACTGTCTTGGAACTTTTACTACCTGAAGCGTGAACAGCTAGAAATCATTATTGGTTTCAATAATGCATTATTGAATTCATTATTCAATTCAGTGAAATCAAATTTTTCCAATTTTCAAATAAAAAACAGTTTGAAAATTCGTTTTTTAATTGAATTACTATTTTTTGTTCAATGACTTCAATAAAAAAGCAAATTTTTTTAAACTGGTTTTGATTTGAATATTGCAAAACTTATTTTTTCAATAATCGATTAATGAAATCAATAAGCGTCAGTGTTGGTGAGGACAGTGATGAGAGTGACAGTGACAATGACCTTGTTTTGTGTGATGAAAGTGAAAGCGAAAGTGAGTCAGACGATGACAGTCATACTGTAACAATACAAGAAGGCACATCAACAAGAAATGGCTGCAGAGTAGGACACTGGTCCACAAGATATGCTGATTTCATTCAGTGAACAGGAACTCCTTATAGAGGTCTAGATTGAAGGGGGTTGGGGGTGGGTCACCTCTTATATAAAGTTATATGGGGGTGGGTCAAGAATTAACTAATGGGCTTAAAGGGGTGGGTCACGTTTTTTCTTTCATGCTAAAACAAAAAAAAAACCCTCCCACCCCCCCACATAAATAATGACCGGTCCCTAAAAGCTTAAGCTGAGTCCTATCCGCTCGATTTATCTGCACATCCCTGAAACGGTTTAGGTTTTAACCCCTCCTAATATTAATAAGCTAGAGTTTTGAGGCAGCATGAAAGTTACAACTTATTACTTCAGATTATTCTCTACTATATCCACCATTTGAAAAACACATTTCGTAAAGGTTCTAAATTTGTGTTATTTTTAGTGACCTGACTGCGCCATCACTTATGAGTTTGTGCTCTCACTTATTTATAACATACTACCTTTTAGAACTGAGAACTGCCGTGAAGGTAATAAATTATTTAAATATCAATCTATGAAAAGATTTGTCATTTAATGCCATGTAACCAAGAGCTTGACGTGTTTCTGGTTTAAATCATTCTTGGAAAATAAAAACGCGCATTCTGTAGACTTGAATTTTTATTATAGTTGAAAGAAGGAGATTCCTTTATCTTCACGGTCAAATTTGGTCAAATTTGAAACACCCGTCTAACTCGTTTGTTTCAAAAGATGACAGGTCAAAACACAAAATCAAAAGAAAAGACGAAGTATTTTCCAGTGCTATTTAAGTACGCAGAACTTTTTCAGTAATCAAAAGCAGCTGTAAAATTTAAAATCGTTTGGTGAAAGCACGCAGGGGGATTCCCTGAAAGTTCTTCCTGTTCCTAATAGGAAATTTGTGGTGACGGAGAACAAACGATCATAATCTCCCGCTTTTGCAGTGTCCACAAAACTAATGAAAAAGCACCTCTCCTTCAAGTTAAGAAAAACTTTCTTTCATGAAAATGGGTTTTTACCTATCGAAAGACATATTCTTACCTGCCACAATGGTTTGGCGAACCACATCTTTTCAAAGCCGCCATTTCTATTGTCCGACATATCGGCTCGAAAATCCCACAAACCGCTCAAATCTTTCACTTCCCGACGCTCCGAATCTTTAGGGAATAACATACCGGGTAAGGACGCCATTATAACGGTGACATTTAAAGACAATACAACATAAAATCCTAGAAAACATTTCTTATAAAAAGACGCCATGTTGCGTGCGATCGGTGAACAGACCCGCGAAAACCTGTTGCTGTTACCAGCTCCCTCTCCACAGCTCTGTTGAAGAAAATCTGCAGTGGGAGGAAAGTCTAAACAGAGGGGTTCTATTTTTGAAAGGAAGAGTATATAGAATAATGCTAAGTCTATTTTCCTTTTCAAGAAAAAGAAAACAATCTTGGCAGAAAGCTGACCCCACCCCCAGCCAACTCCCCCAGCAGATTGTGTTCATTTTGCTGTCACGCTGCAGGCTGCCCCAGTCCCCACTGGCAGTGTATTGTCAGTTCGTACTCTGCATGATAAAGATGGAGTCTCTTTCAGTTCTTTTACTGTTTCTGGCGGTGTTTTCGACGGTTCGCCTTTCTCAAGCCACCTCCGCGTCTAAGCTACCAGGAATGTTATTTCCTAGGGACTCTGAAAGTCGGCAAGTCAAGGATTTGAGTGGATTCTGGAACTTCCGGGCTGATATGTCAGCAAACAGAAACGCCGGCTTTGAACAACAGTGGTATGCTAAACCTCTTTGGGAGGTAAGATTATAATGCCTCAATTTATAAAAATCATTAAAACTGTTCAGATAGTTGGAACCAAAAGCTGCGCCTTTTCATTTCGCACATTGAGAAGCTCTCTAAACAACATAGCTCTGATTTGCGTGGAATGTGTATTTGCAGGTCTTTGTATGGGTAATAGCATGATTTGTAGTGATATTTGGCATAAATACCACGGGTGATATTTCGAGATTGTCAGAGGTAATTTCACGAGCCGTTAGGCGAGGAAAAATTGAGATAATTTTGAAATATCACGAGTGGTATTTATGCCAAATATCACGTACAAATCATGCTATTATTTGCTTATACTACTACCCTCCAGAGGTTTGTAATTTTCACTTGTAGGTATTTCAAATTAAGCTGAAATACCGCTGCTCTAAGCCAATCAAATTGCAGAAATTTCTCATGTAGTAGTATAAAATAATTAAAACTGATCATGACTAAGCTTAAATCATAAAGGATGGAAAATGTCACATGATGAAGTAAGACAAACTCAATAAATGCTGACAGGATTTGGTTTTCACCTAGGCTTATATAATTTGTAGCAAAATGTCCAAACTTGTTCTTTTGTTTGTTAAACCTATTGCTTTTTGCGCATTCCTGTTGCCATAGCCATTTTGATTGCTCCTTACTCCCAATATTATGTCATATTTTTGCATTTTTTTCATGCATTCTTGAACATTATCTTTTTAACATCAATATTTATATAACCTTTTTTGTGAGAGTGTATATGTTACAGGTCAAATTTGATTTCAGGTTAAATTTGATTTAACCTTGTTTGATTCTCAATTCCTTTGTCACCTAGCCCTAAGAGACAAAGGAAACTGAGAATCAACCTAGGTTAAAACAAGTTAACCTGTAATCAAATTTGACCTGTAACATATATATTAAATGCATATATGAACTTTTAAATGGCCATATCCTTCATACACACACTCATAGAACACAATGTGTACAGTTTATAAAGATGGTATTTTCCTTCAAAACAGATGGAGGAAGAAGAAAATCTATTTTGTGAAAAAGATATTGGAGCCCTCTTAGGAGGCTAGGTACATTCCTAGTCTGAATTTCAAAACCCTTCATTTTACATATTGAGGAGCTAGCCATGTTCTTGTCTGTATATTACTATTGTATTTGGGATTGCATATATATTGTGTGTTCAAATGCCCCCA